TATATATATATATATATACCGTTCAATAATTCATGTTCTACATCAAATTTTAACAATCCAACCATTAAATTTAAAGTTCTTAATATATAGATCAAATCTACAAAATTTTTAAAAAATTTGAAAAATATTTGATACTTTGTTTCATTAATTTAAATCAATGTATAAAATAATTTTATTATTATCTGTCAATTCAAGTTAATGAAAAGAGGTATCAAATAATTTTTAATTTTTTAAAAAAATTTGCAGAGTTGACTTATGTATTAAAAATTTTAAATTCAACGGTTAGATCATTCAAATTTGATGTAGAACATGAATTATTGAACAGAATAAGTCTAGGTAGACTTATTCCTAAAGTAAACGGATCCCTCATCTCTCTCTATATATATAATAATACAATATAATATAACATAATATCTATGATAACAATTCAATTTTTATTATACAAAGTATATTTCTTTATTACTATATAACAATTTTTAATGGTAGGAATACATTATAACTAATAAAGGTATATCATATCCACTCCCATTTACAGCCACTGCACGGATGACTTTACGTGTGGAAATGGTCCAATGACGGATGCTTCACAATCAGGACTGCGTACAACGCCATAACAAACTCTCTCCTCCCAACTAACCCTATGGATCTTGACAAAACTTGGAACATTATTAAGAGTCTTCCTATTCCTGCGAAAGTGAAACATCACACATGGAAAGTCTATAAAAATATCCTTTCTACCCGTGCCCAGCTTCAAAAGAAAGGTGTGAGTTGCCCCGTCAGTTGCCCAAGATGTGATGTTGGTATCGAGAATTCCTGCCATGCGTTGTTTGGATGTTATGATGCGAGAAATTGATGGATGGCTAGTAATCTAAAGGACAAGATGAACTCCAGCATTGATAAAGCTAATGGTACTATTGATCTTGTGAACAAAATCCTTAATCTTTGGTCCACTTTCAATGCAGTTGACTTCTGCACGTTGATGTGGAGTATCTGGACTAGCAGGAACAATCTCCTATGGAAAGATATGCCTTGGAATATATCTGAAATTGTCCACCGTGCCTGAAACTCCATACACAATTGGACTTGGCTAACTAGCAGCCTCTTGCTGCTAGAGGTATTCCTGAACCCACCTCGACTACTGAATGGTCTCCCCCACCTCGTGGTTCATACAAGTGCAATTTTGCCACATTCCCTAACCCTGATGAGAATACGTTCGAAATTGGTTTCTGCATTAGAGACAACTTGGGTTCCTTTGTGGGTGCGTGCACCCTCAAGATCCCTAGTCTTCCTCCTGCCAATATTAGAGATGTTATTGCTCTCATGCAAGCCATCATTTTGGCTTCAAAAAAACAATATGCACCCATCGTTTTCGAATTTAGTAGCAGCAGAATTGAAAGTTTTTTCCTTCATCTCAACCTGAAGGATAAAACTGAATTTAGTGACATTATAAATCATTGTAGTAATAAGATAATTTCTTGTGCCAACTTTAATGTAAGTTTCACCCATAGATCAGCTAATTTGATGGCTGCCAATCTTGCAAAAGTCTTCAAATGTTATGTTAATCTTAAGGATTTTATATACATCCTTAATTGTATCTTCTCTCTTATTATTAATGAATTAAGCTAAGGCTCAGCCGTTAAAAAAAAGGTATATCATAATTACCTTACTCTTTTTACAAATGATATATTAGTAGTTTTTAAGGGTATGATAACAATTTCAATTTAAGTTGGAACTTGCATTTCTTATCATGAATATACATCGAGAGATTTATAAAATTAATAATATAAATAAATAATCTTTTACAAAAAATACATGTCGATTTATATGAAAAGATATAATGAAAGGTTATACAACAAGATAATATATATTTATTAATGAAAATATACAAATATGAAATGTTTTGTCATTTCATGGAAGTGGTTACTCATTCATATGATAGAAGTACATGTTCGTTCATGAAAAGATGTAAGTATGAAATGTTATATTGATGGGGTTATTTTATGATATTTGTCTGAGAGGATATTTTATGAGAGTTATTTTTACATGCATATCCATAATGATGAGATATTGTCCGCTCTACTTTGGACCTAATCCCTCACGATTTTCCTTTTGGTCATCATCCAAAAATCCTCTCAATCATTAGAATATGTTTGTGTTTTATAAATTATTATTTTTTCTCTTATTTTATTAATGTGAGACTTGCTGTATCCCAACATATATCCATTACAAAAGTATTTTTTTTTCAGGAAAAGATGCAAGTGTAAAATGTTTGTGATTTGTATATCTTTCACCAAAAGTATGAAGTCATATTCATCACAAAAGTATTTTTTCTTGGGAGTGTTTGTTCATTCATGAAAGGATGTATTTCTTTGAAAGATTGTATCTCTTATTAAAAATCATTAAATGTGTTTCTATGAAAGGTTATATTTCTTCATCAAAAGTCATTAGACGCACTTTTTAAATGGTAAAAATAGAATGTGTATAGAGAAGTCTTTATTTAAAGAGTTGAGTAAATTATACTTTTATGATCTTTGTTTCTCAATTTTTGACAATCAACTAAGAGATATACACCAAAAAGAAACTATTTAACATTATTTTAAGAAAAAGTTAGAAAATAAGTTTTTAAATTTACATTATTTAGACTATTAAAACACATACAATCATAACTACTAGTAACATAATTAGTCATTTAATATTATATCACATCATATAAATTCATAATTAAACGACTATTCGAATAAGTTTACACTTCAAAAATATCTATATTATTTGATCGATCGATATTACAATCACATAAACTCACAATTAAATTATTTTTACCCTCAAACCCACAATTTTACATATTTATACGGATCGATTTGTGAATTAAGGTCCTTGTATCTAATCTAACTTTAATGATAACCAAATTAAAATCATTATGACACTATAGGGCCGGGGTGTAATATATACCTCCCTAAAGCAAAAACATTATGACTCTGGCCCATTCCATGCCCATGAGTCATCATTTTTGAGGCAGATGGGCCCCATCACTCTTCAACCACCCCATTACAATTGCCGGTGTCTTTGGCTATAAAACCATGCTCACTAACCAATTCTTATTACAACAAAGTGTCTTTAGTTTTATGCTTTTCTCAATCTTTACCATTATATTGCAATTAAAAACATGAGCATGGGAAGAGGCAGTGCAATTGTAGCTCTTACACTATCATTTTGGTTGCTAATTCACTTTGAGATGGCTCATTCAGCCACCTACACAGTTGGAGGTGCAAATGGTTGGACCTTCAACACGGTGGGTTGGCCCAAAGGGAAGCGATTTAGGGCTGGTGATACACTTGGTTAGTATCTTTGGATTTCTTTTGACTTTTTTTTTTTTTTTTTTTTTTTTTTTTTTTTTTTTTTTTTTTTTT